TGTGTGGTTGCCTCTGTGCCCATTAGAAATCACGTTTTCTTTCACTAAATAGTTACGATAATTTTTATTGGCCCCTGCCTTCTCACAGGGCTGGTGGCCACCAAATCTGTATATTGTACGCATTTTCTTTTAATTGCCAAACCCATGTGTATTTTAGGAGGAAATATGATCCATATGTTTCTGATTCATCTACAATGAAGTCACCAAAGACACGGGAGAGCAGCCTGACAGGCGCAAAGTCTTCGTAGAGTCTCTTTTTTTTCCTTTAGAAACAGAAAGTCGGATATGTAAAGAACAAGCACCCCAAATTCTGTTGTGCTCAGGCTGCTGGTAAAACCCAGACCTCAGGAAGCTTCAGGAAATGTTACTTTTTCAAGATATTTGCCTCTTCATGTAGGTCTGCCTTTTGAGGGATCTCATGATAATATCCTGGATGTCCCTCATGTGAGGTGATGGAACTGACCCGCTCCGTTGCCTCTCCTTTAAGCTCTCTTTCTGTGCTCTAAGCAAACTCCCCCTTGATTGGCCAACGTTTCCCAGGGTTTCTCTTTTCTAATTCCCAAGGCTGTCTCCATAGCACTTGATATAGTTAAGGGCTGGCCTATGCCCTGTGTGTCGCCCACATGCCTACTGGATATTCCCATGGTCAGAGTAGCACTGGCTGATGAAAGCCCATGCATAACCCAAGGCAGAGGCTGCCCACAGATCTACCTTCATGGAGAGCAGGACTACTGCACTGGTTTGGGCTATATCTTTAATAAATAGGTCGTGCACAGCCATCCTTGGAGTGCAGCAAACTGAGGTACTTGGCTGGAACTTTGTGCCTTGACACTTCCTGAGCTGCCAACATTTGGGCAGTGACTTGGGGAAAAAGAGAAGAAGAGGGAAGTTCTACAGGCTAGTTTTAAAAGGACCTGGGAATCAATGACCCACCTTCAAGTGAATCTGTCAACCCCACCAAAGTAAAAAATAATCCCACCCTTCCTTCTTCACATATAGTCTAAGATGATCGACCTTTTATGGCTTAAAACATTCCATAATGCTCGAGCATTCAGCAACCAGCTATTGCCTTTGTCAGCCCCTATGCAAAGTGCCAGAATAGAAAGAAAAATGAGACACACATTCATGGCCTCAAAAAACGTATAACCCAGTAGAACCAGGCAAACATATAACGAGCAAATAAGTATTGGGTAGCAGTGTGGTACAGGGTTGCATATCGACTGTGGAGATCAAGAGATCTAAGTTCAAGTTCCAACTCTACCATTTACTAGTTGTGGAGTCTTCCTTAAGCATATAACTTCTCAGTCCAACAGCTCCATCTAGTAGGGAGGGAGCATTAAGTGAACCCTGTGTATAGAACCTGTTCTGCATATATAGTAACTCTTATTGTTATGCTCTGTTACAGGGACTGTAGTGAAGTACGTGTGAGGTCCCACAGGAACACAGAGGCATGTGGTAAGAGAATCAGGGATACCCAATTTGGGGGAAAGAGTGACCTCTGACCTGACTGTATTTCTAGGTGAAAGTTGCTGGGAAGAATATCTACTCAATATGTTAGAATTCCTTTTCTCCTGGAATTAAATTTAAACACTCTGGCACAATGAGATGCAGGTGGTATTCCCACCCATCATTGAGACCACCTTGCTTTACAAATAGCTCCCAGGGCTCACAGGACTGGGAATTGCTATGTGCCCGAAAATTTCAGCATTTCTAGCTCCTGTGTGCCTGTCTCGTATTCCTTCTTGACTAGGTTGTAAACTTGAGCAGCCTTTGGCCTGGTCTGCCCACTGTCACCAGTGATCTTTCTAAAACATGAGCTTGATAATGCCCCTTCCCCTTATGAAATCTTCTTGGGGCTTCTCATCCTTCAGGATAAAGTCCACACACTTCAAAGCGTGGTCCATTTGGCTCTTCATGATACAGCCTCTTCCTCTCTCACTATGCTTACTTCTCAGCCTTCCACTACATGTCACCAGATTGGACTCATTCATGCACTGTTGCCTCTCTCTCCTCTACGGTTTTGCACACGCATTTCTTTGCTTGACACATTCTGCCTTCTGTTCTCCTTCCTGGCTTTGAAAACCTCTTTAAGACTCAGATCAAGTGTGACCTTTGGGCTTCCTCTCCTGACCCACCCACTCTAGGTTAGCTGTCCCTCTTCTGGGTCCTCATTACACCTGCCCAGATTCTACCATGACTTCTGTCACCCTATCAGCCTGTCTGCTTTGCAGGTTCCTTGGGCTCCTAAATCATTTCTATCTCCCCACCTGGCTCACTCATGGCTCATGAAATGTCTGTGAATGAACCACAGAACCTTAGAGAGAATCTTAGCTATTTTCCTACTTGGAAGTGCACAAATGCCCTCTGCAGAGATTGAACCAGGTGCCCATTGAAAGGGCTACACAAATGCCAGCCTCATCTGTGTGTAGAGGGAGAGGGGAACCCTATCTGGAGCAGAGACAATGAGTGCTCTTCCTGAGAGAAGAATCACTGGCTCTTGTTGATTCTGGTGGTGTCCTGGTAAATGGGTCTAACTAGAGCTGGTCTGTTTTTGAGTGGATTTTGGAAAGAGGACAGGGGAGAGGGTGTGAGGTGGCGCATGTTGGAGCAGCACCACGTGGAGTGGTGGTGCACACAGCTGATAGCAGCTGTGACTGGGAACAAAGTAGGTTTTTACTTTCATCACCCAATCCTGGAGCCCACGTCAGCCCTCCTGGGGTCTTAGCCTGGCATACTGCTGGATAAGTGTCTAAGCTTTGGGGGAGACCAAGCTTCACCAACAAGGCTATGTGGTAGCAAAAAAATGCCTGTGGTGCCTGCCCATGCCCCAGTGATCCCACCCCACCCCATCCCCATTTCAGACTGATGAAGTACCCTGGATATCTAAGACTATTGTAGGGAGGGGCTAAGGAAGGAGATTCTGGACCACCTGCCAGGTGTGTGCTTGAATGACTATTGAAAACATCAAAGTTTATGGAGTGTTCATGTTGATTGCACCCTGATGAGGAACTCAATAACCCACCAGGGGCCCCTTGTAGTTCAATGCTCTGATGGGTAGTCTCTCCCCCCTTAAATAAATGTTCACAGGCTCCCAGCACCATCACTAGGAAAGGGCTCTAGTTGAGGTTGGCTAAACAGGATGCAGTTCTTAGGTGTCAGAGAAATGGCAGTATCCATTGTGTTTTGCTTTGCTTTAATTTTACCATAAGGAGATTACTAGAGTGTAGAAATGGGGGTTTTAACAAAGGTAGAATTAACTAGACTCTGAACTGGAGCTGCTACAACACCCTGTCCCATGTGACCCCTGCTCAGCTTCCTCGGCCTCCGTCATCTTTATTCACCATTCCATTTGATTCTGTAATGCCACCTCTGAAATGTGGTTGTGGGCTTGGCCGAGCCCCGTGTATCTATGCCAAGGCAGTGGCACCATATGATCACCATGTGATTCTGTGGCATACATACATAAAGGATTTAATACAGAAAATTGGTTACACAAGTGATAGAAGAGCCAGGAAGCTAGAGGCGTTAATGAAATAACCCAGTGAAGAATAATAAAGAAGAAGGCATGGTTTCCTTTGGCTGCAGGGACTAGGGGAGGAAGAGACATGACTGGAACTTAGGGGTCAGGCTCACCCGGCAGAGACTGGAGCCTCTGAAAAGATGCAGCTACTGGGAAAGAAAGCAAATCACCCTGCTTTCTCCCAGTCTCTCGCCAACTGTTCTCCCCTCGGTGACCTCACGTTAAACCCAGACAGAAGTTAGCTGACAAGGGAGCCTGGGAAACCCCACCTGCCATTCAGAGAACAACAGGGGAGGGCAGAATGCATCTGGAGGTAAACAGGACAAACACAGGCACAGTGACCTCACCTCCCCCCGCTTCCCCTACCCCTTCCTTCCTCATGACCTCAAAACACCTTTCTTTAGACATTTTTTCTTTCTTTTCTGTCCAACAACCTTAGAGAAAGAGCTGTCTTTGGTTTTCCTAAGAGAGCTAGAACTGGTCTGAAATGTAACTAAAAAGCCTACAAAATCCAGAATTCACAGGGGCGACCCTCCCAGCTCTACACATCTCTAGAATGTGAGGGAACTACCTTTTGGAATCAGGAGGAAAGGATGCTTCTGAAATCATGCCATGGGATGTGGAGAAATTGCCTGCAGAAGCCCTCTTGGAAAAATGCCTCCTGCATGAAAAAGGTGCCAATACCTTCCTTGATTTTTATAAGCGATAATAACAGACTCTCAGGTTCACTAAATACGGTCAAGCTATTTCTATTAGACAAGTCACTGACATTTAGACTTAATGTGCACTCATTAAAATAAAAATCAAGAGTGATCTTTCTCCCTGGGTGCTTTCTCACAGCTGTCTTTTTTTTATAGCTAAGGAAATTGAGGCCAATGATATCAAAGCCTGAAATTGTTGTCTCCTTCAGCGTGAAGAGTTATAAAGGGCGCAGAAAGCATCTCACCAGGGAACTGATTCCTGCCAGCCTTTTACTGAGTTGTTTTCCTGACTTGGGAGCTCTGCTGGAAGAAAATTGCCCACTTCTTCAGAAAACAGGCCGGAGAGGTCTCCTACAGCAGTTCCAAACTTGCAAAGCAGAGCAGTGCTGACTGGTGTACTCAGTGCACACAGGAAGACCTGGCTCGCGACCTGGATGGCATGGTCTGCTGCCTGAGGCCTTAGTGATCAGTTTGGGTCCCCGATGCACCCCCAAAGCCCAGCCCTGTGCCTGGCACATGGCAGAAACCCAACATTTACTGAATAAACAAAATAACTCAAACTCAGAGGGCCTTAGTCACCATGACTGACTGTGCCACTTCCAGCTTTCTGTAGCGCTGAGTCTCAGTCCCACGATCTGTAAACTGCGGATCATCATACAGTCCCATTTACTTCACAGGATCATTAAGATCAGATAAGCTCGTATTTGTGAGTTTGTTCTAGTAAGCGAAAATATTGTTTTTATAATGCTCTAAATAAAATTTAAAAAGCTTCCCATACCAATGCTTGCATATACATTTATTAAGATGTAGCCAAGTGAAATGTGTCAGCTCCTCCTCTCATGTACAATCTTTTTTATTGGTGTGTGACAACGCCCAGGGCTGGGGAAACAACATCATCAAAAGCAAATGCCAGCTTTTTACAGACTTGGCCCAAACAGTGTGGCCCAAAGCACTATTCTAAACTGCAAGAAATCTGAGGGCATTTCATTCATCTTGCTTTTTATTATTGTTGACATATATGCTTTATTTTTAATGTTCACTGCAGATCCACATTAAAAAAAAAAGCTCATATTCTAATTTAGCAGAAAGCAGAGATATCAGTGGGAAAGACAATGCAATAACAAAATATTTTATCCATATTTGTCTAAACTAGAAACACGCTGCCATTCATGAGGGTTCTAATAACACGTGCGCATAAGCAATACTGAGGCCTAATGGGCAGTGTGGGTGTCCACCCAGCATCTTCACTTTACTCTGGGTCCTTATCCTCCTCTGAGAAATGGGGGACCGACTTCTTTGCAACAACGTTGTCCAGTCTTTGTCCTTGTAGATATGGGTTGACACTCTGAAAAAATATGTATGGTTTGGTGTTATACCTGAACCTTGAATACAGACATCTCACAAAATAGATGAACAAGAATCATTATTGGCTTACTGGGTTAACTACAAGGTAACAGTGGTACCTACCACCTAACACGTGATTACTCCAGTGCATTGACCAATGCCTCAGGAGGCAGAGAAACGTTGTCTGACTGATAAATGTGCCCAATTATGTCTTTCACACAGCTCTAAAGTTCTTATCAGATGCAACATGCCCCCCACCTTTTAGGCACCAAGATTTCATATGAACCAGCTAATATGCTCTCACTATTAACTTGGATTTGCAAGCACCATGGGAAAGAGAATTGTTATTCGATGGCCTTATTTAGGTGGGGGAGAGAATCTGAAGTGCATTAAATTATTTTACAAGAAGAATGTTCTCAAGATGACAGAGCAGGGCCAAGTGGAAACTAGCATCTGCAGACTGGTCACAGATCACCCTATTGTTGTGTTGATTCTTCCATGCCAGTGTTCTACTAAAGAGGATTCATCCAGGCTCTAGCAATCATTTCCACCTCCCCTCAGTCAAATTGAAAAGCTGAAGAAAAAGGGGGAAGTTATATGGAAGGCTCCTTTATTTTTTACTCAAGTCTCCATAGTCTGACATCTCTTTCATCTGTTGGTATCCTGAATGAGTCAAGGTTTTTCCATTCCTTCTCTAATACATCTCTCCTTTTTTTGAGGTTTGGATTTGAACTAGTAATTGCAGCTTTACAGCACCGCATTTATTTAGCAAGCAGAAAATTTTCAAACAGCTTTGAAATATTTGTTATTGAAATTGCCTTCCAATCTCTAAATAAAAATGTACGAAAGAAGCTGTAGTTACAAGTGATCAGCAATCCCGTTGGATACTAAGCCCCTAGGAATGAATGGAGGCAGTTCACAGTGGGTCTCTCTTGCCCATGAAACATGGCCTGCCTTTTAGAAAGGTGAGCAGACATTCTCCAAAGAGAAGGAATGAAACCTGAGTTTAGTATTTGTAAACATCTTTCCATATTCCGACAGGTAATGGATCATGAAAGGTTCAACTCACCCTGCAAAACTGTGTCATAAACAAGTGAAGAATTACAAAATATTCAATGTCCTCATAGATCTGAACAATGACATGTCACAAAAGACAGTACTTTACTGGGAAAGAATCTTTAAAATATTTAAAATAACTAACATATTTTTACATTAACGATTGTCAACTGAGACGGCCTGGCCTACCCCAGGGGATCATATCAGAATCTTTGGGTAGGTGGAACAAGTGTGGACTGAAAAAGTATATTCAATATCATAATTATCATAAATGTTTTTATTGTTCTTTAATAATAATATTTATTCTGAAAATTCTTATATGTTAAAAAAGGGCATGAGATGTTCATGTTTATGAAATCTGGAATGAAAGATTGATAAACTCTTTGAATAAGATAAATAGTAGATCTCAACTATGAACAAGAGATAGTTTAAGAGTTAAAAGGTTTGCAAGGTCATTTAAAGATGAGTTAACCTTTCACTCATGAGGTAACTAGGAATTCAGTTGGATTTTTTTTTTTTAGCTGAACCATCCTGCCACCTGTTGGCAGCTCAGCAGCAGTTCAGCTCAGGCTGGGAATCGAACTGCTGTTGCTCAGAGTTCGCACTCTTCAGAGAGCTCTTAACCAACTGAGCCACTCGGCCAGCCCAGAGCTCAATTGGATTTGAGCAAGTATGGAAAGTTATATAAAAACACCTGGGGCTCAGTTGTAACTTTGGGGAGAATCCTCTTGGTGAGGCACTTTTATGGGAGAGAGTCCTCCTGCCCAGACCCAGAACATGACAATGATTGGAAGAGAGGGGAAGTAGATTAGTGAGAAAGTAAAAGGAGCAATCAGTTGAACCTTTTTGATAAATGTTTACTAGTATTGAATCCTAACTTAAAAGTAATAATAATCATGGTACTTGGTTTTAATTATTCTCTGAAGAACTTGAGGCACTAATATATTTATCCTCTACCTTGGGTGAGAGACTGGCTAGGTTATACACAGCAAACGTTAGTCCCAATTCACAACTGGAAGAACCATTGGGATAGGATCTTTGCTTTTGATGTTCTCTGGAAACCCACAGCAGATGCTGAGCTTCATTGGAGAAAGCCTTGATTTTTCCCAAAAGAAAGCCCACAATTTTTTTTATATCGATTCATGCACTTGAGGTGGTGGTTCAAGTCTTTAGTTGAGATGGAAACACCATCTGAGGCCTGATGACGAGAGAGGCAAGTTCTGTTTCCCCATAAGTCCTGAGAGGCCCATGGTTTATGGCATGAGCATGGGTCTTAGTAGATGTCTGAGAATAGAAAGAACTTGATACCTTTGGGTCAAAGTGACCCTTATTTTCATAGGTTCTAAGCCTTTCCTATGCGGAAGAAGTTGAGGCCAAAGTAAAACCTTTATAACATGTGTCCTAGCCAGAATTCTGAGTTTTGGTAATCCTGGTCTGATCACTGAACCTAAATCGTGACCCGCGGCCATGACTCAAATCAGGGCAGAAGAAATGGTGAGCCAGGAAGCAGAGACAATTAAAGCTTCATGCCAAGTTATTCATTTTGGATCCAGCATTGGTCTTATTTGGAAATGTCCTTGTTGTGCCATGGGGAGATAGTCAAGACATCTTATTGGTAAATTATGTGTATTCTGAGCTCCTGGAATAAAATTTCTTGATGTTCTCTCAAGACCCTATTACACCCTTAGAACTCTCTGCCATCCTTTGCCACTGGAAACTGTAATCACCCAAGAAAAATCCCTAATAACCCCGTTCACACTCCCAAAGATCTGTTTCTAGACGTCAGAACTGCATCTCACATAGAAAATTAGCTGTGGGTCTTCTGCATTTTTGTCAGGCAGCACAGGAGCTTGGAACTCTCTGTAGCAGGAGTCTGAGAATGAATGCTGAGTCCAGAAAATCCACATCTCTTATAGCACTCTCTCACTGGATTGGGCAAAGCTATTCAGCATGGCCATAATGACCACAGAACAGAGTCCCAAAGTTTGCCAGAATCCTAGCACTTGCTATTCTAAATAAACAGTCGGTGGCTTTGTGTATAAGGTTTGGTTTGTATATTTTAACTAAAATGGTTACTATCTGGCAGCACTATGCTATGTAATAGCAGGATCTTAACTTTTTCTCCATCTGATGAAAAAAAGATGGCCAGGTGCGTCTGTGTGGGACGGCAGCAGTGGATTGCCAGAATGGACAATGATCACTTTATTAAAGTCCCAATGCCATCAAATGCTCTGGAAACCCAAAGCACATTTGACAATCAGCTTTACATGAGGCAACACCGTCATGGCTAAATGTGCAACATCCAGACCAAGGTCCCACCCTGGGCAGCCCCGGGATGGTTAGTAATGAAGCCTGCAGTAAATTCAGAGATCGGCAAACAAATATAATCGATCTGGTGGGTTTTTATATCAATTCGGCTAGGCCTAGAAAACAGGTATGTAGGAGGAATGAGGTTTCTTCATCTCATCACTTCCTTGTTCCTGTCTTGTGTATTTATATAATGCATGCAGATGGGTGAACAGTTTCCCCCAGTGGTCTACACACCCTTTGCCAAAAGACCTATCCTCATGTACTCCCCGCATTTCCCACATCTATGCGAGAGACACAATGTACATGTCCTGTGTGCAATGGAGGTGATGGACTCACCATAAAACTTGGCGTTCCACTAAAAATCACATGTGAAAGCTTGAGAAACCATCCCAGAGATCAAGGGTGGACTATCTGGCCATGGCCCTCATCACACGGGACCACTGTTCTGCCCTCCCAGGACTGCACATAAAAAGATTCTCTACATTCCAACAACTGAAGGTTCCAGCTTGTCAACTGCCCCACTCAGAAGCTTCAGGCATCCCAACCACAACCCAGCCAGCCGTGCCTTACCCTCCGCTTGCGTCTCTGTCCTCCCTTCATCTTCTCATAAAGGAGTTTCTTGTTCTAGAGCAGGGAGAAAAGAAAACAAATGCAGAAGTATGGATCAAATTTGGTGAACATCTATTTTAAAAGCAACACTTGGTGTGTCCCCTGGATATTTACATACACATATTTTGGAAACAAAGCTAGATGAAAGGAATGTCGTGTCAGAAAGATGGACCACAAGGGAAAAGCTGGTGGTTGTGCAGCTTTTAATAAAGTTCTCTGCAATGCCCTGAGGCACATCAGTGTCATCGACAATCATATAAACAGGAAAATACAACATTCTAAAACACAGGAGGCGTTGGAAACCCATCTCCTCACTTTGAACAGCCTTTGTTTAAAACAAACAATTTTATCTCACATTAATTTTCCATCTGACTCCCTTTTTATGAGCTGTACACATAAACTGTTCCCTAGAGTAGTGTCTGACTATTAATAACAACCCTCTAGGTAAATAAATGAAACACTCTGCCTTCTGCAACCTTTCCTCCTGTGGCTTAAGCCAGTGCACCCAGTCAAGACAATCGGAAAACCATTTGGCCTATAACATTTTTAATAGAGTGAACCTTTTAAAAACTGCCAAAAAACTTCTTGGCAGAAGGAAAGCTATGTTGGGGGAAAGAACGGGATCTGTTACCACAGTTTGTATAAGTGTTTCCACATATTGCTGTATTTCAAACACATCGTGGACTTAAATGAGCTCTAGAATATCAGACACATGCTCAACAGATTTCCCTTCTATTGAGATTATAAAAGACAGACACTTAACCTGGAGGCAGAATGGGAGAAGGGGAATTGGGGGGCTTTGCTTGTGTTGGGGTTTTTTTATTTGATTTTTAATCAGAAGGGAAATAATGTATAGAAAGGTGACTCATCTTACTCTAAATGAAATACCTTGACATTGATCTAAAAAAAATAAAAAGGAGACGACAGAGTTTTGGTAAGGAACAAGTTTATACAATGCTGGTATCCTCTGAGCTGTCTGGATAGAACGATGTTTTTTTTTTTTAATGGTAGATTTGGAAATGAAAATGCCAAATGCCAAGAATGAGCTTCATAATTTTCACGTTCATTAAAAATCTACCTCACCCACAATTTACAATGCACATCTCTTGCCCAACCTCAACTATGCGGAGAGGCCGTGCCAGGGAGGGAAGCAGCCTCTACTGCCAAGAGGCCGGTACTGGCCACAGCCTCACTCTCATGCTCACTTGGGGAGCTGATCAATTTAATATCTCTTGAAACCTTGCCATTTGCGACCACATAGATGGACCTTGAGGGTATTATGCTAAGTGAAATAAAGTCAGACGAAGGAAGACAAATACCACATGATTTCATTCATATGTGGAATAAAAAAAAAAAGAAAAACAACTAACAAACAACAAAACAAACTCATAGAAGCAGACAACAGACTGGTGGTTGCCAGAGGGGAAGCGGGGTGGAGGGAGGGCAAAATGGGTAAAGGGGGAGTCAACTGTGTGGTGATAGATGGAAACTAGACTTTTGGTGGTGAGTACGCTACGGTGTATACAATAGCGAATTATAATGTTGTACACCTGAAACTTATATAATGTTCTAAACCAATGTTACCTCATTTAGCAAAATATACATATATATCAGAAGGGAGAAAAGGGGGATGTATAGATCATTTGCTTGAGGGATGAGGATATCGCTGTGAGGCTCATTCCTGTCATCTGTAGATGCCTTTCTGGAATGTAACAATTCCTGCTGCACAAAGAGTGTAGTCTGGGGAGTTCATGCCAGAGCTGGGGCAGGCGGCTGGAGAAAAGCACGCGCGGATAGCGGGTAGAAGCTTCTTCATGTGTATTCAGCTGCCTGAGCAGGAGGGAGTGCGAAGGGGCCTGAGAGTTGGTGCTGTTGTGTAGGACAGCCAATCATCTGTGACAGAGTTCCACTGTGCCATCAGCAGGATAGAGGCAGCACCATTTTAGTTAGTCTTCTTTAGAAGGTCGTGGGGCCGATTATACCCATAAGAGCCTTCATTCTAAAGGAAATGCAAAAGGTCTGGCAAGTCTTCCTGTCAAGGATGGTCCCTGCATTTCCTTAAGAGCTAGGGATAGGATTAGCAGGACGATGATGTCCCACCCTTGCATGGAAGTGGCCGGGGCATACCGGATTAGCCCTGCTTTGTATGGATTTAAAGGCAAGGATTGGCAGGTATAGTGCAGGTAACAGAAGTATCCAAAACGAATGAGACAAAACCAGGCCCCTCTCCTGACACCCGTTCCTTGTTGATGGGTGGGGAGGGAGAAGTGGGGAGCCTGTTTCCCATGTGAGTAGCAGGTTCGAGTTCATAAAAAGGGCTTTCCATTGTGCCATCAAGATTTTGGAAAACTGCCCAGATGTTGGTTTCAAATTCCATTCCTAAATGGAACCAGGGAGGCTTCTTGGAGAAATGTCTGTTTGCAGAGCTAGGGCAGGGGAAGTACAAGGATGAATGAAGTTGGAATATCTAATGGGGCCAGAACGTTAAGGAAGTGCTCAAAAAGTGACGGGGACATGTCAAAAAGAAAGAAATGCCAGCTTGCAGAGACTCCCACTAGCTAAATTTGGGCAGTTTGAACACCAAAATAAATAAGAATAGGTATCAACAACTCCATACTGATGTTAAATAGATAAACACAATATAAATAAATAAATAAATAAATAAATAAATAAATAAATAAATAAAAAATAAATAAATAAAACGAGCAGGGGAAACTCTTGCTTAGAGCAGAATGCCAACCAATAAATGCATAAAGACTAATAAAAGAAGAAAATCGCCATTAAAATGACCATAGTTATAATTGATTCTGGCGAGTATCATCAAGGGATACTAAAACTGTTGGTTAAAAGTTTAATGGGGAGCAGGCGGCCGGATGGCTCAGTTGGTTAGAGCGTGTGCTCTCAGCAACAAAGTTGTCAGTTCGACTCCCACATGGGATGGTGGGCTGCACCACCCACCCCCCCAACTGGGTTGAAAAAAATGGCAACTGGACTTGGAGCTGAGCTGTGCCCTCCACAACTAAGATTGAAGAACAACTTGACTTAAAACTGATGGGTCCTGGGAAAAACACACTGTTCCCCAATAAAGTTAAATAAATAAATAAATAAATAAATAAATAAATAAATAAATAAATAAATAAATAAATAGATGAATAAATAAATAAATAAAAAGTAAACATTAAAAAAAAGTTTAATGGAGACAGAACATTTAGACAGTCTCAAAGTATCTCCCTGCAGATTAATTATTAATTTCAAAAGCAAAAATGGTCATTTTACCCTGGAGAAAACTGACAGACATGACTTTAACCAGGTCACCACCAATTGTGGAACAAACTGGCACCGTGTGCCTCCTGATAAGCAGCGCTAAGAAGAGCATATCAGAAAGGCATCACTCGAGTCTAATCACATGGAACCATGAGACAAACGCCACTGACGAGCACTGGACTCTTCAGACATGTTGAGGTCAGGAAACACAGAGAAAAGCAGAGAGAGGGTTCTCGTCTCTCCTTTCTCACCTGACTCAAGCTCTCGCCGTGACCAGGGCCTCCGTTTAAGGAAGAGCCTCTACTTGCCCAAGCTGCTGATGAAAAGATGCTATAAGCACTTGGAAAGGAGAAATGTTTGCTTTTGACACAACTTTTTCCTGTTACACTCGGCGATTAACATATGAAGGGAAGAGGTGACTGACATCTTGTAGCGACCCTTTGGTCACAGCCACTCAGTGCTGTGTGTGCATACATTGTCTCAAAGGCAACCAGTCCTGGATGGGACTCGATAGGACCGCTGGGCAGAACACATTCTGAGCGATGAGCCATGAAAAGATAAGGAGTTTCTCCAGTTTTTAAAGAGCTCTTGGAGTCAGATGGTCTGGTTCAAATCCCAACTCTGGCAATCATCAGTTCTGTGGTGTTGGGCAGCCCAGTCAACTCCCTAAGCCTGTATTGTCTCATCTGTAAAAGGAGAGTGATAGGGATGGGCAGGTTGAATGAGATAATTCATGTAAAGTATTTAGCATAGTGTCTGGTACATAGTATGTGCTCAATAAATATGACTATCTATTAGTGCATTATAAAATACAATTACTATTCATCTTTGTATTGCCATCACCTAACACAGGCCTGGAAGACATATGATGTGAATTTAATAAATGTGTCTTGATGCATTAACAGAGATACCAATGCAGGAAACAAGGCAGACTCTGATATTTCTATGTGAATCGCTGCTAAAGAAAGACCCAGCTCAGTTTCAGCTAATGTCAAAAACAGGGAAAGATTTTAGCAAATAAGAAATCAGGGTCTTATACGCAGTTTCCCATGAAAGATAATTACTTTGTTAACTTGATGATCGAGCTTAAGACAAGCTTGAGGCCATCATTCTATATAAACACTGAGGAAGGCTTGTGGACCCCAGCTTAGAAAAGCAAGGCATACTCAATTCACACTTCCATGTGAAGATCAAGCAACCCATGTTTTACTGTTAGGTGGTAATGAGGAAATAAATGAAGGAAACCTAAGTTTAAACAAACACATAATTATAGATGGTAAAAGGTGTGTAAACATTGGTCCTTGGTCCCTGACCTGTAATAGTACTTCCCTTTAACATTCAGTCCTCCTCTTGAGCTCTGATACAGACAAGGAAGGGGTATGACTGGGAAAACAAATCAGTATTTAGAGAAGGATACACAGAGAATGAAGGATGGTGGTTGGCCTCTCACTGGAGTGCTGGGAGTGAGTGGAACTTGAGAGAAATCTTTAAAGCTTTTCAAGAAAAGGCAAGGAAAGTTGGCAAGAGGGAGGTTTCCATCTCTCCCGCCTCCCCAGTTGGGATCTCTGCCCTCACTCACACTGTTCACAGCCTCCCTCTTGCTGTCTTTAGCTCATGTCTAGCCTACCAGTTACGCGGGATACCTTCTCGCCTTAGACCTCCATGATGACCTTTTTAGCACCTTCGACTTCCTCAATGGCTGTTGTGCAGTTGGCCATGCGAGCCCTCAGTCCTGGATCTTCCTCTACACTTACTTACCTCCCATCTTTCTTAGTACTTGCACCTGGTGCTCATGGGGTAATGAGAACATGGAGCTGAACAGTGCTCAGCCGGGTTCATTTTATTTGCATGCAGTTCTTCTCAACCAGAAGACTAAGCGATTTGAGAACCAGTACCGTGTCTTGGTGGCTACTGCCTACTGAGCACCTAGCACAGTTCCTGGAATGAAGCAAACTACGTCTCCTATTTGGTCTTTGTTGAACCTGTCCCTTGCTTCTGGCTGGCAATACCTTTGCCCGCCTCTGTGGATTCCTTCCCAATGCTCCTCTGTGAGTTCCTACTCTCTCCCTCCCTCTCTCCGCTCCCTCTTTTCTCTCCCACCTCCCTCTCCTCCTTTCTTTTTAAGATTCCTTCAGAGGAAAAGCTCATACCATCCACTTCATATAAACCTGACATCTCTTCTTTCCTCCTCATGCTATATTTACGCCATATACCAATTAATCAGTTCTCCGGCCTCCTCCAAAATGTCTTAGATTCTCATCACATTGGTGAGATTCACTTGAATTCACTGCGTTCAACAGCTTTCATCACTGGAATTACTTCCTGTGTTTTTTTCTGCCGTTAGTCCCTTCTCTATTACGCCACCAGAATAACTTCCTGTATAGAAGCCTTTCATAGTTTCAGACTCCTATCCAAGGACCTACAGATGTGTAGGTTCTATTTAATTTAACATGTTCAAACTCTACTAGTAGGCTTCAAAACGGCGCCACAAGCCAATTCTCCTGAACAGAGCTGCTTATGAAAAAGAGACATAGAATAATGCATACTGGAGGAAACAAAATTAACTTAGGGGGGTGTTGTTGCTTTGTTGTTTTAAGACAGGAAATGTATGCACGTTGAGGGTTGCATGTCAATCAACACAGTGCAATGTTAAAGCAAGGTGATGCAAAACTGACAATGGTCATTAGTGAGGAAGGAGAGCTCTCCACAACAGTGTAAAAGGAAGGGAGAGAGTTTAGTCCTGAGGTTACAATATTGCTAGTAAAGCAGGAAACAAGGTCAGCTGCCAGTAATGAGCTGAGACGGGATCGATAGCTTTAGAAGGGCTTAGGCAGTTAGGAATCTCTGCTCATGCACTCATTCCACAGATGTATTGACTGCCTACTGATACGTGAATTAACACTGAGAAAGGTTCCTCTCTCTTTCCAAGTGTGTACTTTTCCACTTTCCTCACATGGCTTTAGCCTTTGATTACAAAACTCAACCACAGGGACCTAGACATCTCCCCATTCAAATGTGATCTTATTTGATTCATTGTTCCAGCCTGTTAAGATCATCTTGAACCCCAACTCTGTCATTCAGTGCTAGCCCTTCCAACTTTGTGTCATCTTTTGAGAATCTGCTAAGTGCACATCCTAAGTTTTTTATTACAAACATTTATAAAAATGTGGACCTGCAGGACAGACACCATGTGACATCTCCCTCCCTACTAACGTCGACTCTTTAATAAGCCCCCTTCCAGCGATGTTCTCTTGCCTGGGATATATCTCTCCACCTCTTCCGATAGGAGATCATGAAAGAGCTCATCAAATACTTTGCTGAAAGTCCAAATGCACCATGCTCACTTCATTACCCTCATCAAGCTGGCAAGTTAAGGAATAATGCTGGCAAGTAGAATACAATTAGTTTGACAAAACGTGTTTTTAGCAAACCTGTGCCAAATGGTCATGCTTTCTCTTTCCAAGTGCTTATAAGGAATTTCCTTAACTGGCAATTATAGATTCTTGCCTGGTTTTGACAGCAAGTTCACTGCTACACGTTTTGGAATTTTTCTTCTCTTTCCACAACCCAGAATTACATACATCTGTTTCTAAGCTTCTGGCATTGTTTCCCCTTCATTCTGCAGAGGTCATCTTCCTCAGTCTAGAGATAACATTTGCTAATTTTCTCAGTATCCTTTTTTAAAAAAAATCATATACTTCCTATAAAAGCTGTGTGAAACACTGGTGAGACTTTGGGATGTGTTATGACCTAGGGTGTGGAATACGTTGGCGTAGAAATCTCTGGAGACTATAGCTGATGAGATCGGCTCAGATCATTGACTCTTCAGATGGGCTGGTATATTGTACCCTAGACTTATGAGTGTGATCTGGAATGGTAATTACATAAAGACCCTCTCTGAAAAATCAGTCTCTACATAACTTTTCTTCTCTGTTCCCACCCATATTGCTCCTCTCTGCCATCAGTACCTTCAAAGCACGTGACTGTAAAATTAACTGGTAACCAAGATTGGACTTACCCACTTGCCCAAGCCTGGGTAGTCATGTTCTGGATCATAAAGGTGCTGGTGCAGCTGGAATTCTCGACTGAACTCTGCAGTGTCAGGGGTGTTTTCGAGACATCCATCATCTGCTGCAAACAAAAGGTTTTTGAGGAAGGGCCAAGGCATTTATCATTATTCTAAGAGTTAATGTATTAAAGCCAACTAGACACCCAAAGGTCAGATTCTATTTACATCAGTCACTCTAAGTCACTTCCCCTATGGGATTTGTGCATCTCAAACTCTCACTCTTTTTCCTACCTGTGGCTGAGACTGGTTGGCTGCCTCCCAAACCCACTTCCTTTTCCCCCTCTACACACAGTCCATTTCCCAGCCTTGATTTGCAATCAGGTGGTGTTATATGCCTGAGTTTGGGCCAATGGGATGTGGGTGGAAGTGATGTATTCCACTCGCAGGCCTGGCCCATAAAAACCTCCTATATGATCCTCACTCCCTGCCCACCCACCCCACCACCCCTGCCTCATTGTTCTTGCCACCAGGGCAACTGTGCATGTCAAGTGCAAAGATGAAAGATGGTGGTCTGAGTTGCTGAACCTTTCACCCCCCACCACACCCTCACCTACCTCTGTCAGGACTTCACACAGGTGAGAAATAAATTCCTATTGCGTTAAGACACTATAATTTTTTTTATCTGTTATAACAAGTATTTCCTTAACTAATATACCTCCATTCCACATGACTCACTTTGTTTTCTCTTGGGTGAGCTCTTTAGAAACAATTTCAGCTTCTTGGAAAAAATACATTATATAAGAGCAACAGCAATCACTAGACAGGACTCAATGTTGTGTGTTACAGCGATAACAGGGTAAACTTTGAAGGCCAAGAGACCAGAGCTCATGGTTCAAATCCTGGCTCATAAGTGATAGATGGGGTTTGTGTCTTGCAAAGGTTGACGTAGTCTCCATAAGTCCATTCATTCCTCTATGAGATGAGAATAATCATATACCTACCTTACAGGGCTGCTATGAGGAATAGGGATGACCATACACAGAGCATCTGGCACATCATAGGTGTGCTATTTGTTTCAGTTCTCTTCCCACTGTCTTGTCTTTAAATGACAGTTTATACTATGGCTGCTCTTTGAAATAAAGCATGTCTTCCATTCAAAGCCAAGAAAGGTTATCCCTCTTGGCAGATGTTATTATCTATGCCCTACCATTACTAGACATGATGCTCTGAAAATGCTGTCAAAATTTTCAGGGCAAGGCAATTTGTCATGGCGATTGAGTGCACAGACCGGAACCAAGCAGGCCTGAGTTTGAGTCTTGGCTCAGCTACTTGCTATATAGATAGCCTTGGACATGTCACTTTCTAAACTTCAGTTTCCATGTCTTTAAAGTAAGGATAATAAGTACCAGCTATTATTATTATTATTATTATTATTATTATTATTATTATTATTAGGCTAGGGAAAAAGACTACTGTGGTACTAAAAGGTTGCACAAGCCCAAGGAGAGAGATGCAATATTGCTAGTGGCAAAGCTAATTACAATCAGGATGCCATTTAATGATCCTTACTCTGTGTTAGGTACTGTGCCAAGTCCTTACCACGGATCATTGATTTCCCACAACTTCCATTTTGCAAATGTGGAAGCTGAGGTGCAAAGGGGTGAATTAACTTGTTTAAGGTCACATATCTTGACCTTGGTTTGAATTCAGGTAATCCGAGTCAAGGGCCACTATTCTTAACCACCAAGGTAAGCAGCTCACAGCCCAACATAAGTGCAGCCCACTCACCATTCATTCTCATTGGCATTAGGGAGTAGGAAAGTGGGAAGGATACACAAGTAGCGAGGTAAGTTTCCACCTTCTGCTTTAGCCAACTTCTTACCCTCACTCTCATGCAACCTCCTGGCCTCCAGAGAAACATTTCAGGGTAGATGTTAACCGGTTAAGACAGTTGAAATGTTGAGTGTCAAGAGAAGGAAGGAAAACAAATGGGCATGGGCAATCCACAAACCAAATAATCCGTTCCAAAGACTCTAAAAATAGGCAGCAGTTGTGTCAAAGAAGAGGCCAAAAAAAACAACAAAACAAACAAACAAAACAAAACAAAACAACCCTCCCATTTTATTAAAAGAATAGCAAGTGCAGAAAAAAGCATCAATTCCCAAAGAGGGAGAGAGACAGAAGGTAAAGCCTTGGTAAGGGAGCCTGAAGTGAGTGCATCTGAACACCAGAACTCACCAAGGATTCCAGAATAAATCACCCTTGCCAATCTACCTACGAATACATAGGGGATCATCAGACTAGAAATACTATTTCTTGGAATATTTACACCTGATGTGCAAATTTTTAATTTCCTCCCAAAGCCTCTACGATCCACAAGAACCCAAGGGCAAGTGTGTTACCTGTTTTTCCAACAGGACAAGGATTTGGAGGGTCTGGGTAGCCCTGATCCTCACTGAAGTCCTTGGGAATGTTGTCACCAGTCAGCTCTGCCACGATGTTTGGGATGTTACCGAAAGGACCCAAGTGCTGCAGGCCTTCATGGGCTCCACCTGCCAGAGAATCAGAAGTAGACTTATTTCAGTGCAATTCATTTCAACTAATATTTTTTCAGGCCTTCTATACAGGCAAAGCACTGTGCTCTGTGCTGTGGAAGAGAAAAAGAATCAAATGATTCCCCGGGTTCTTTAAATTAATTACTTGTATATCATTCCTACCCAAGGCACATTATATACATGCTATAATAACAATGTCAATATAGTATTATGGGAGCATAGAAAAGGGAGAGTTTCATTTGGCTGATATAGGATGGGGAGGCCTTCTTGGACCAGTTGGAGCTTGAGTGGCACTGACACAAATGGGTAGGGCTTTGGAAGTGGGGCATAGAGATTGGGGGCTGGGTGAGGGAGGGGTCAGGGAAAAGAAAGGGAGGCAATTGGCATCCAGGTATGAGAGCAGGCTGACAGACAACACATAACCAAAAAAAAGGTAGGTAAGAGTCACTACCCTGTTTCCCCGAAAATAAGACCAAGCCAGAAAAGAAGCCGTAGCATGATTTTAGGTGCTAAAATATGGCACCTTGGCATACTGAATGTTTTAAGCTGAAGGAGTTTGTGGAAAAGGCACTATTAATCATTCCCCTATGTGGGACATTTAATGTTTCCCGGTTTACTCTAGGCATTTGATTTTTTTCCATGTTTTGGATTAATTTTCCTCAGGATAGATTCCCATAAGTCAAATTACTGGGCCAAAGGCTACACATATTTTCATGGCCCCTTATATTATATTGCCAAACTGTTCTCCAAAAAGGAGCTACCAGTTTATAAATATCGTCAAAAAAGCATGAGAATACCACTTTTACAGCATCTTTACCAGCACTGGGTTTTATAAAAATAATTTTTGTTTTACTTGCTAATTTAAAAGGCTTTCAGAAAAATTGCTGTTTTATTTTCGATGTCCTTGATTACTAGGTCAGTCAAATATTTTTCCATGTGTTTACTTATCAGTTTTAATTTCTTTTTTGTGAGTTGTTTATGCTCTTAGAATCTTAGTGTTTCTATTAAAAGTTTGTGTGAACATTTTACATAATAAAGATATCAAGCCTTTGGAAGTCATATTTCCTGCAAATATTTTCCCATGTTGTCTGAGTCTAAATTCTGGATATTATTATAATATTTTGTTAACGTAAGTCTTTAATATTTATGTAGTCGGATTTATTGCTGTTATTCTCCTTTGGAATTTCTTCTCATCCTTCTAAACTTACAAAATTGTTGTCCCTTTAGAAGTTCTATGAAGTATTTGGATATTTCTTTTAGTTTTTCTATTTTTAAAATTAACTCTTTAATCCATATGCTCTGTTTTAGTGCCTATAAAATAGTTAACCAATTATCCCACCAGAATTTGTTAAGTAATTCTGTATTTCCCCACTTTCTTCATTCCTTCAACAAACATCTAAGTGGCCCATACATACCAAAGCCTGCTCTGAGCACCAAGGCACAGCAGTGAGTAAGAACAACTTACACTGTGTAACTTGCTTTTACTTATATATACAAATGAACATCAGTTTCTGGACTCTTTCTTTTCTTGTAGCCTTACTATCCTAAAAAGTACAGGAAGCTTACTTTTCCAGCGCTGGAGCAGACCACTTCTTGGAATGAATTCCTATGTATTAACTTTACTGGAACACAGAGGCCCCACACTCTCAGCTCCCTTAATGCACAGTCATCCTGTACATGAACCTCTACACAAAGAGCTAAATCAAAATTAAAAGGTGTGCATGAAATTGGAACCCACATCAGGCTACAGTAACGCCATACCTGCCCCTCCACAAGAAGGATGATCTTGCCAATCAGTCATATTATTTATTTAAATCCAGCACCTGGATGAGACTTCCTTCTCACCTGGATGAGCATGAGCACTGCCAAGGTGTGCCTTCTGACACTTGCTTTTTTTAAAAATCTTTTTTGGGCTGAACCAGCCTCCACTTTGGATTGGCACATAATTTTCTTTGTTAATGTATTCAGTAAGATCATGGCTAGATCTTAGTGTCCTGGAAATCATATTGTCTCTTTGAAGAGACTTAGTGTCACTCTGTCTTAATTTATGATGTATGATTGAAATTTATCCTTAAAAAAATAATCTTACCTACTTTAATTCTAATTTCCTCTAGCCCCCAAATATAGACAGCACCAAGTGGCTGGGTTGTTTTGTTTACATTTATATTGTTACACTTCACTGCTTTGTGATGGGAGTGAGTAGCTTGCAAAATTTCTGCATTTTGAAAAAAAGGTATTATTTTTGTAAATTTTCCAAGTGAATATTTAAAACAGGATATATTTTTATATATAGTCTATAAATGTCTAAATGTAACCAATTATTCAACATTCTTATATTCTTTTATGTATTTATTCATATATCTTGTTTAAATTGTCATAATCTGATGACTATATTTTAAAATATACCAACATCTATCAACAAGTATCTACCAATCTATACTTATCTACCAATAACTGTCTATCTCTTTTATTTCCTACTGTTTTCACTTTAGCATGTTGATGCGTGCTGCTTGGCATGTCCCAGAGTATAAACTCTTCATTTTGATTGTGTTATTAATTCGTTAAGTAAATATTGATAAATCATATTTTGTTTCATATTTCTTCAATTAGCACTGAACTCTCATTCTGTTGTTTTGCATTCGGTAAATCTTTGACCATCCTTTTATTTTTAACCTTTCTGTATCTTTCTGATGGTTCGCCCTATTCATACTGTTGGTGGCTGCCTTCAGTGACATCCTGCAGATTCATATTTAGTATTCCACATTAACCCAAGACCTGCAAAAGGTTAAAGAGACAGATCAGTGCATGCGGTATTGACATATTTGAAGCTTTGTACAGTCTTGGCAAAATAACCACCCCTGTGCTTGCTATAGGGCACGCTCTCTGGTGTGTCAATACATGCCTCAACTTTTGAAAGCACCCTCAGCTTAAGTGCCAGGAATTATTCAACTTGGCTCAAAGGGGAATACATGTCTTAATGCTCCATTAGTAATTAATGAAGGAAGCAAACACAGTTTCCTTTATGGAAGGCCTGCCAAGGCTCTGTTTACCTCTATGTACCAGTGCCATTAAAATGAATGCAGCACTTGTTAGGAAGCAACAGATGTTTAGCACCAGGCAGATACATTATAACACAGACTCTTTAACAACTACATTTTATGACATCAAATCAAGAAACACTCCCTGAGGTAGGCACTGGCGGAGACGGGCAGAAGTAACAAATACTACCCTTTGCTCTCCAGGAGCTTGAATTTTACAGACAAGAAGAGTAACCATGTATAGAAAATAATTTGATAATTATAACAAATTGATAAATTCATTATCAATTATATATCAGAAAATGATATAGTTGAGTACACAGCCAAATGCTAGTGATCCGATTCCTTACAATGTTTAGGTTATGCTCACCTGTTACACCTGAAGCCAAGTCAACCAAAATGTTATGATGCTGTGGACGTTATTTAGTCCATTTGTCCCAGTCTCAACCAAACACATATTTTTAAATCATCAGTCACTCTGTCAGTTTAAAAGAGATAGGTATTGAGCATATATCAAGACCTAGACTAAGTGCTAGAGGGTCAATAATGGGCCAGATAAATGTGAGCCCTGCTCTCATAGTTTATAGTCTGTAAGAGATACAAAAACAAAAAACAGAAACAATTAAAATGGGTAGATGTGATGCACTTATAATGTAACGAGGATGCAGCAAGATGTTACAGGCGTGTAGAGAAGAAATATCTAACCCAGATTCAGGACAGTGAGGGCTTCCTACAAGAAGTAACATACTGATGATTATGTTAAGTGCTGTCAAAAATCTAATTGTGAAAGACATGGTTCCTACCCTCTCGGTGATTCTTCATTCTCGTTGGTTATTTAAGGCTAATGCAATAAGCCAGTGGTGTGTGATAAGACGTATTTCCCAATATAACTCATTATGGTATAGACAAAAATGATGTAGAAACTCAGGGAACAAGGAACTTCCTAGAGAAACTTCCTTGGAAGAGGTGACACTTGAGTTGAATCATGAAAGACAGACTCCATCTTTACTGGTGGCAAAAGAAAAACCAGAAGTGAGGGCACCAAGGTAGGTGTGAGCACGGGATGTTGAGCATCATTGATGAGCACTGTTGGGGAAGGGGGGAGCTAGATGGGAGGAGAGAACAATGTCAAGCAGAAAAAGTATGAATTTATATAGTGATAAACAGCAACCAAAGCTTTCTGAGCAGGAGAGCCATGTAATAATTGGATGTTGCATAGAACATTCAGTTAGAACAAAAGTTTAAAGCCCTTGTTCCCACCTAGGGGTGCACATCAGAATCACGTGTAGAATTTTTTTTTTCAATCCCAACGCCCCTACTCCAAAGCCACTTATCCAAGTGTTCTTCTGAAGACCACTATACAAAGGTAGATTGAAGGAAAGTTAAGAAGGAAGGCTACTGCTGAAACTCAAGGGTAGAGAGACAAGGTTTGGGGTTAGGGTGGCCAGAGCATGAGTAGAAAAATGAGAGATTTCAAATAATGCATAAGGGAGAAATGAGTCAAGCGTGCATGAGGTTCCCTAAATCTAGAGGCTCCCTGATTTGGGAAAATAATGCCGTTGGTAAAAACAGGAACTTTCATTACAGCTTTCAAATTATTTCAGGCAATTAATTCATGCTATCCTGTGAGGATGCTTTATTTATGTTTCCATCACAGCCATATCACTCCACGAATGTCTCTAGAATAGACAATATCTAATTCTTGCCAAATAATTCTCATTCTTGCCCAGTTTTTGTTTATATATACTTCCTTTATATAATAAGATTGGTACCCCACAGCTATTTATTTCCAAGCTCTAGACATAGAATTATTGTAGGTTTTCTTTGCATTGTTTGGTAATAAAGTGCCAGTCAGTTGTCATGATCAGAAGCAATGGAGGGCAGGGAGTGAGGAAGAAAGAGGAGATTTGGGTTGGTGTGATATGGGCCAGGGCCCTAAAATCTCCATGGCATGCGCTGGAACACTCCCTAAAAGTCTTCT